ATTAATCAGTGGAACAATCTGCCTCCAGAAGTTGTGGATGCGCGAACACTGGAAGTTTTTAAGAAGAGACTGGACAACCATTTGTCCGAAATGGTATAGGGGTTCCTGCCTGAGCAGGGGGTTGGACTAGATGACCTCCAAGGTCCCTTCCAACGCTGTTATTCTGGTTCTGCCTGCCCCTCACCTCAATCACTCCTTCGGTGGCGAAGATATTTGGCTTGATTTTCGCCAGGTACATCAAGGTCAGGTAGAGGGTGATGTCAGGCTTGGCCCGGTTCATTTTCAGCTGCTTCACAGCTCCGCACAACACTCCTTCGATGCGGTCATCATTGCCTTCGACTTCGGCAGCCTCAATCTCATCCAGCAGAGCGTTGGGGGCCACTGTGAGCAAAAGGAAACCACAGCAGCTATTTGGCAGTCCAAACTCCCACCAAAATACCCAGGCACCGCTGGATATTTTAAAGAATTACAATATACCCTTTTCTTACTCCATTTAGTTAAAAGCATCTCAAAGATCAGAAAAGCATTAAATACCTGCCTGGTAAAATACATTTGCACTGATCAATCCCCTCCCCCACAATTTGGAAGGAGGGAAAGGCTGCCCCTGCCCCTCGTACACTTCACCTTCGATAGGAATGACCGATGGCTCTTTGATGGAAGGCGAAATGGCTCGCTTCTCAGCCACGGCGGCCTCAGCCAAGCGTCCCAGAGCACTGAGAGGGGGCGTGGAGGAAAGTTTGGGGCGTTTGGCCAGTCCAGAGGTGCTGGACAAGGCGGATGACGTCGCCTCGCGCTTCCGCTCGGAGGGCAACCCGGAGGATGTCGGCTTGAGCAAGGTGGCGGCTGTCTTGGATTCTCCCACCTGGCCTTTGGAGCCCAAAGCGATGAAGTCTCCCGGAGGAGGGTGGCCTAAGGCAGGAAAGTGGAAGAAAAAGAACATCAGCTAAGGCCGTGGGGAGCCCCAGGACGCTTCCTTCTGAAAGACCCAGAGAAATCTCCATGTAAATAACTTGGGCACTGAAGACACGGCTTTGCCACCGGGGCTGAGGACTCCAGGGGGACACAGAGCCCATCATGTGGATGGTTTGATTGTTGCCACTCCAGGACTGGAGATTTAGGGGGGCTTGTATAGGGGTCTATTTCTGTAGGCTGCCCGGAGTCACCGTGAGTTGGGGACGGGCGGTCATATTAATTTTCTTAATAAAAAACAAATAAAAGTACAGGTAGTCCTTGACTTACGACCACAACTGGTGGTCCAAAATTTCTGAGACATTTGTTAAGGGAGTTTTTCCCCATATTACGACCTTTTCTTGCCACAGCTGCGAAGTGAATTGCCGCAATTGTTAAGCTAGGAACACAGTTGTTAAGCCAATCTGATTTCCCCATTGGCTTTGCTTGTCAGAAGGTCGCAAAAGGGGATCACACGATCCGTCATGAATGTGAACCAATTGCCAAGCATCCGAATGTTAATCAACGTGACCCATGGGGATGCTGCAACGGTGAAAAACCGTCCTAAGCCACTTTTTTCAATGCCGTTGTAACTTGGAGCGGTGACTGAACGAACTGTTGTAAGTCGAGGAGTACCTGTAGCTGTTCTATCATGCAAAGACCGGCCAGCCAAGAAACCTCCTCTCTTTGCCGTGGGGCAAAGCTGAGGGGGGGGAGGGAGGAGGAAAGAGGGGGAACATCGCCCCTGCGAGGTAGGCCAGCCCAAGAATCCAATGCTAAGCAGGTCAGGTCAGGCTTTTTTTTTTTTTTTTTTTTAAACAGACGTTAAGAGAAGTTGGCCTGTCTGAAGGGGCTTCCCTCCACCATCACCCCTTCCTGAAAAGAGGGAGGGTCTCGTCTCAGAGGCTTCCTCTGGCCGGGATTCCGGTTCCTTCGACCTGACGGGGGTCTTGGATGCAGCTCGTCCTCCTAGCCCTCCCCCCTCCCCACATTGGAGACCACCCCCCCCTCTGGGGTTCCACACGTGCCCCAGACACGCGTCTTCTGGGGGGGGGACACAGAAAACCCTCAGCAACTCCCTTGCAGGGCCTCCACGCGAGGAGACCTCCCCCACACGGGGTCCATGGAGGACCCCCCCCATATAAAGCAGCCCCCCCCTCACCGGAGGGTTTGGCGACCGCGCTGGGGCGGCGCGTGGCCGCGGGCTTCGGCCGGTTCATCCTGCGGGGGCGGGCCAGCCCCCCAGAGGGGGTTTTGGGGGTCCCTGGAAGGAAGGGGGCGCGGACTCCCCCCCCCACTCCCGTGCCCCTCCCCCCAACAATCGGCGGAGCTGCCGGTTTCTCCGCTGCAGCCAGCAGAGATGGAAAGGAAACCGGAAGTCTTGCTCGTTGACCCGGAAACGGCCCCTCTAGGAAGGACGGTGTTTTTCGGCTGCCACCGGCGGACAGGAGATGGAACTGCAGCCTCTTTAAGAGAGCCAAGTCGGACCGGTAATCTTAGTGCCTGTGGGGGAAAGGGATGAGCACAGCGCCCCCGCGCGGCCGAAAGGGGTAGCCGCATCTCTAAAGATAGCACTACGCAGTGTTTCTCAACCTTGACAATTTTAAGGCATGTGGACTTCAACTCCCAGAATTCCACAGCCAGCCATGCTGGCTGTGGAATTCTGGGAGTTGAAGTCCACATGCCTTAAAATTGTCAAGGTTGAGAAACACTGCGGACTAGCCACAGCACTAAGACTTGACATGCCTGCTCTAAGTGGTTTACGGAGTCAGCATGTTGCCCACAACAATCTGAGTCCTCGTTTGACCGACCTCGGAAGGATGGAAGACTGTGTCGACCTTGAGCAGGTCAGGATCGAACTCTTGGCAGTGGGCAGAGTTAGTCTGCAATCCTGCATTCTAACCACTGCGCCATCACAACTCTTAAAGATCCTGGAAGCTTTTGTTGCAAATGTCAGAATGCGTGTTCAGTTGTTAGTGGGAACCCTCTGCGCCTGGAAAGGAGCCCATCTTCACCTGCCATGACTAGAGGGATTGGTTTATGGGGGGAGAGGTGAAACAGCCACACCACAGAGCAAGAACACATCACATTGTATTTTATTTCATTCTTGGTACAGAAACTCGGGGGAAAGTATCAAGCAGAGTTTAAAAATCTGTATGTATTCCAAAAAATAAAACAACTGCCCCAAAGGGATAAAGCTCACTTTTCCTTTTTCCCAGTCTTCTCAATGCACCGCAAAACTGAACAGCAGATGTTGATGTATGGCAGTGTAGGGGAAACCTGACAACTTTAAGACACGTGGACATCAACTCCCGGGTCTCCCCAGCCAGCGCTGTGGAGTTGAAGTCCACGTGTCTTCAAGGTGTCGTATTTAATCAGCACTGCTATGCGCTGTATTTGTTGGTTTTTCTTGCTACCTGCCATTCTGGTAAAAATAAAATGTTGCAAGACAGCTAAATGAGAACATCTGGACAACTTTACGGCCATGGTCCATAAACCCTTTGCTCATGCCAAGGCTGACTTCACAGAAAGCGGGCACTCCAAAAACAGGCTTAACTAACCCTATCGTGGTTTTACTGGCAGCAGCACTACAAAGCTGCTGTGGCACCTGGGCACGGCTGGGTATTTTGGACAAGACGGGCAAGGGGGAAACCTCCCTGCTTTGTTCTAGAGGGCAAACAAAATTCAGGAAACCCCAGCAGTTGGGAAAACTGTGGGTGGAAAAATAGTGCAAATTGCATTTTCCGAAGTAGAAATCTGTGCATTTTAGCACAGTATATAGACATTCATTCTGAGGGTGAGTACAGGGCAGGGTGAAGCGCCCCGCTTAATTCAGGGGGCAATGCTGAGAAATACACTCCAAGCTCTCACATTAGCCTGGCAGAAGATTTAAACCAGCCCCATTGGCAAGGATTCTGCAGCAAACCCTTCTAAATCTCAAGATTTAAAAGCAAAAAGTTCCTCCAACAGGATATTGACAAATCACCCTTGGTAAGGTTGCAAACTTGGTTAAGCAACCAAGGCATCCATGACCTGGCCATCTAACTGTAGAGATATTCAAGGATGGCTAATAATAAGAGCTGGGGGGTTTAGGCTCAGTTCTTGGTGCAAGGTGCTTCAGAAGAGTTAATTTACGGGACTGAAGCAGGCTTGTTACAGGGTGAAATATCACCCTTCACCATTGTGGGTTTTACCAACGATGCTATCAAAATATTTTGATAGTGAAATAAGAGGATAGGGAACCTCAAATTCAGGATGTTTCCAGCATCGAGATGGAGACTTAGGCCAGTATGAGAGAATGGAACACATGTATACACATCTCTGAATCCTCTCTCTCTCTCTACAAACCTTAGTTTCCCTCACTGGCAGAGAGCAGGGCCTCTGGACCAGAAATGGAGTCTATCAGAATTTAATCTTCTGCTCAGAGGTCCTACATTTTCTGCAAAAGACTGCCTGCTCATACATTCAACCCTCCCCTCTGGGCTAGAACTGGGAGAGATCACTGATGCTTCTCATTCAGAACAATCTGGCAGATACGCTCCCAGACTTGGATGGAGAAATTCCTTCCCCCATCAGCCTTCATAGCCAAGGATATTAAACTGCGAAATCCAGAGGCTGAATTGAGGATGCTCGGCGTGCCCACAGCCCGTGTTCACACAACAGTGGAGGGAATCTCAGTAAATCCCAGATGGCTGGCCAAAATGCCAACAACTCATCAGGAACTCATTTCCAGTGACTTTGACTCAACGTTCCCCTTTTCCAGCACAACTGCAAAGCGCCACTTGCGGAGTGAGGGATGTTTGGCAACATGCGGCGGAGCGAAACACGGAAGACGACGACGACGAGAGGTCTGTGCCCAAAAGCATGGAGCAGAAGCTGCAGAGGAGAAGGCAGGAGGGCCTTTCCCAAGAAGAGGCGAGGAGGGGCCCTGACACGGCTCAGCTGGGGAGGCACCGCCACGGAGGTACGTGAGGATCCCAGGCCGAGGTTCCCCACAAGCAGCAGCTCCGCCTCCTCCTGGCGGTGTTCGTCATGCAACCGGTGCAGAGGAAATTCTCCTGGGCTCACAGCCATCGTACAGAGAAGCCCTGGCTGAGGGGAAGCTGCAGGTTGCTCACGTGGAGTACCTTCGGGGGTGGTTGCAAAAAAAGATTGCCGAGTGAGTGGACGGTACCCTTGTTTTACAAAGTTGTTTTCATTCCTGGCGTTTTCATATTCTACCTTTCTACTAGGATAAACCTACACCGTGTCTGAGTATAAATGTGCTTTAAAAATGCATCAGGTAAGAAACTGGAAAAAGCAAGAAGCAACATAATAAAAATAACAAACCTAACAAATAGCTGGAGAATATTTAAATAGGATATTTGAAGAACTGTAGCATCCCCTCCATCCACGACATTGTTAAGAAATACAGGACGCTACTTCTGAAAACTTAAAAACAGCCCAGTTTTGATACCAAAGATGCTTTTCCACGAGGCAACTGGACTTGCTTGTTTTTTTTTGAAAAAGCATCTTTGGGGTAACTATGACCTGGATGATTGAGAATCTCCATAGATATTTAGCCCAGTTGTGATTTTAAGGAAACAGACATAAGTCACTCCTAAAGATTATCTACTAATAAAGCAACTTGGGTCACTTTGCATGTAGCAAGGACCAAATAGACTCAGTTTTTCTCCCTGCTGGCTGAGCAATTCTGGGAGTTGAAGTCCGAGACCCCTGGTCTGAATAACCAATTGGTCAATTACCTGATTGGACAAATAAATGAAGGGCCAGTTTTTGCCACTGACGGTGACCGTTTTCGGCTCTTCCCGGACTCCGTAGACACTGAGTTTATCCACCGTGAGGTGGGTGGCTTCGGTACTGGAATGCAGGACGGTGGAGATGAAAGTGTTCTGGAAGAAGAAGAAGAAGGAGAGCTCATGTTTCCTAAATAAGGAGAGGTGATAAATGTCTGCTACAGTTATAAAGACATGTGGATCAGTTTTCCCCCAAAACACTGAATTTTGTCAGCCTCTACATGGCTCTTTTAAAAGGGAGATTTCCGCAGTCGGTTGTGATTCAAAGCTTTACGCGTCCAGGAGAAATCTCTTCACCCCCTCTAGCGAGAGCCATCCCAAAACATCTCTTCTGGGGTAGAGCCTGGAGGAGAACGGAGCAGAGGAGGCCCCCTCTTCCGCACAGGTGGACTGGCAGGCGGACTTTCTCACCTGGGTGACGTTGAACACCAGGTAGGAATAGTCACCCTTTTCAAAGGTGTCCAGGCTGTCGCCGTCATCCCAATAAAGGTCTCCCCAGGCGTTGGAGGTCTGGGATAAGGCTGCGATCAGGGTCAGAGGGTTCCGGCGTGTCAGCCAAGTGCTGCCTCCGGGTTTCTGAGACACATCAGCGGAGGGAGGGAGGGAGAGAAGGTCACTTGGGACACTCTGAGTAAAAGGTTTTCAACTAGGCCACACCGTCTTCCCCCTCTGCTTATAGCCCAGCAGTGGCACTTGGCTAGTAGAGACTGTGACATGATGAAACCCCCTCCCCTCCCCAAAACAAACTCAGGACGGATGAGGAAGAAGCTAAACTCTTCCCTGCCCATCTCAGGGTAGCTTTCTGTTTTATTTCCCAGGTCTGTGTATTTTAACCTTCTGAGTTAGAAGGCTGGGGCTGGCGAATTCTGGGAATTGAAGTCCACCCTCTTAAAAATGGCCGGAGTTGAGAAACACTGTTCTAAGCTGTGGTGGGAAAGGCCTGGGCCGAAAAGTCATTGTTAGTGACCTAACAAATGACATTAAGACCCGAGGTAAGACAGAAAGCAGATCTTCTTTTAAGTCCGAGCTTCGGGGTCCTACGGAGGGAGAGATGATAGGCTGCTAGCATACAACCTTGCCTGGAGAACCCTCGGCTCCCAGGAGCTTAGCCAAAATTGGGGGGGGGCAGTGAAAGGTGAATAAGAGCCTCTTCTGGTCTCACCTGAGTCGGCAAGATGGTGCCTTCTCTCAGATGGACGTTGATGTGATCCAGAGGGGCTGCCATTTTCAAGCTTTCCCCGCTGCTGTTCACCGAAGAACCCTGAAGAGGACAAAGAGAAGCCCTCAGGTGGGTGTCAAGCTCTTGGAGGAGGAGGGTCCCCTCGGAGTCTCAGAAATGGGGTTCTCCTGGACTCCAGAGAGGTGGGACCATGACAGGAGCTCAGGGGCTGGGCCCTTACCGTGTAGTAATCGTACCAAACACCTTTGGGGAAGTAACCAATCACTGAGACCGCACCAGCTTCCAGTACGGGCGTCACCAACAGGCCTCGGCCCCAAAGAAACTGCTTGTCTAACGTGTAGGTGGCCTCATCCTTTGGGAACCTACCACAAGGAACAGATCATTGAAACGCCGTCTCTCTCGTTGTTATGTTAATTTGTTATGTTA